TGTGTGTGTGTGTGTGTGGCATGGAGGATGGGTGAGGGGGGGGCGCACCAGGGTGTGGTGCAGGAGGTGGGGCGTGGCAGGAGAGGACATGGGAAGGACAGCAGAAGTGCAGGTGGCAGGCAGGATGTCAGCTGCAGCACCCCAATCCTCTGCTCCTGGACCCCGCCAGGGGCCCCCAGAATACGCTGTCCCAGAGTGTGCCTGGTCCCAAAAGGGCACCATGGCCTCGGCCCGGGGTAGGCCGGACTCAGGCCCACTGCAGGCCAGGGGCTATCTCAGTACTGTGCACAGCAACATTACCATCCTCCTCAGAGCCTAGTCCTGCCCACCCCAGAGGAGGAGAAGCCAGAGGGGTGGGGGTCAGGCTGGCCCTTTGACCCCATGCGCGGCTGACACGTGACCCATGACCGCCTGGCACCCCTCCCCCATCCCACAGTGACCCATGACCGCCTGGCACCCCTCCCCCATCCCACAGTGACCCATGACCGCCTGGTGTCCCTCCCCCATCCCACAGTGACCCATGACCGCCTGGCACCCCTCCCCCATCCCACAGTGACCCATGACCGCCTGGCACCCCTCCCCCATCCCACAGTGACCCATGACTGCCTGGTGCCCCTCCCCCATCCCACAGTGACCCATGACTGTCTGGATGGCTAAATTGCAGGTATGCCCAGGCTCTGGGGTGGAGGCTGCTCTCCTGTAGTGTGGGCAGTGATGGGCAGGGACAACGTGGGCCCCTGTGAGGGACATTGGGTTTGAGAATTCCTGGGGTCAGGGCCCTCTGAGACCCTGGTGGCCATCCCTGCCGCCCCCTCCCCTGCGGAGCCGGCCGTGCCGCCGGGCTCCTGGGCGGCCATCAGAGCCCAAGCCAGGGGGAGACTCAGGAATAGACAGAAACGAGCAGCCAAGGAGTGGATAATTCCAGAAGGGACCTAAGACATTCCAGGGCTTCTTGGCTTTCTAGAAAAGCCAGTCTCTCATTTCACAAAGAAAGATCTGAAGCCGGGCGTGTCCTTCCCGGAGGCTGTGCTGTGTGCCTGCCCCTCTCGCACTGGGAGCCTCTCCCCGTCCAGCGAGCTGGCTTCCCTGCTGGAACGTCAGCTAGCTACGGCCCTACCTCCGTCCCCTCTGACTCCACAGGCATTCCAGAGCGAGGCTGCCGGACTGGGGCCTGGCTGACTGTCCTCTTCCCCACAGACAGACATCCTCAAGTGTGTGGTCAGCGCGGACCCTGGCCTTCGTTCCCACTGGTTTGTGGCGGCACTCTGCAGTTTCGGCCGCTTCCTGAAGGCTGCCTTCTTCCTGCTGCTGCCAGAGAGATGAGCTGCCCATCTGGTCAGGGCCACAGCCTGGACTGCTGGCCGCAGGCTGGGAGGTAACCACACCTGAGCCCAGTTGCTCTGCTGACCCAGCCTCTGGGGCGGGGAGAAGCGTTCTCATGCTACCTATGGCCCTTCTGGAATCTGCCAGAAAGCCAGGGCCAGTTCCAGGCCCCAGAGGAAGGGACCTGGCAAGACCACACTCTTACCTGCTGCCCCAGGCCCCAGTCTGGGAAGGGACCGTCTCAGGACATGGGCTGGCCTCGATCCTTGAGGCTAGCAGGCCCTGTGCATTTCATTTGCGGGGGACCGTGCCTGACCAAAGCAGGAGCCGTCTTTTACTGGCTTGTGTGCTGGGAGCAGCCTGAGGGGCTCGGTGGCGGGGAACCGGGGCACGCAGCTCGGAACAGCATGTCTGACGAAGAGTGCGGGAAGGCTGGATCCCAGTAAAACTTCACCCCGTGAAGGGCCGATGGGGCCCGGCTCCTGCTATCCTTGTGCCTGTTCTTATGCGACCCCCACAGATGTGTCCACCCAGACCCCTGGAGAGCTCAGATCTGAGCAAGTCCAGCCCCGGAGATGCACTGTCTGAGCCACCCTGCAGCCGCCCCTGTGGTCCCCTCGGCGCTCACCGGCGGCGTGCGGGAACGTGCTCAGGTGCACTCAGGCTGTGCCTGCCCTGTGTCTGGGCACCCACGTGGCTGGGCCTAGCCCAGCGACTGGCCCTGCAGAACGCCACTCAAGCTGAGAGCTCCCTTTTAGACTGGGCCACTGTGAGTAGTCTTCCTAGGGAATGAGGAGGCGCAATCTGTCTGAGAATAATGGAGGAAAGGTTTCTGGGCGTCCATGTAGACTGGTTAGACCGAAAGTTTCTGCTGCCTTTTTCCAACAGCAGAAAATTGTGATAGCCCAGGGTCAGATGTGGCAATAGACATGCAGAAGCTCCAGGTCCCACGGCCCGGAACACGCTCGCACGCCGGGGAGCCCCATGAAACTGTACTGACTGTGCAAAGTGGGGAAAAAAGATAAGTGTGGGCTTTAAATTCCCATCTTAAAAACCCTCAAAATTACGCCTACCCCACCGGCTGCGTCTGCCGCCGGCCCTAGGCCGTTAGAGCAGCCTCCCAGGTGCCCCTGGCATTGCTCAGGGAGGTTGCCATGAGTTCCCAGGCCTCCCACCTCACAAGACCCGCCCCACACTGCAGCTGAGGGCCATCCCCAACCACGGGCCCACACTGCAGCTGAGGGCCATCCCCAACCACCGCCCCACACTGCAGCTGAGGGCCATCCCCAACCACGGGCCCAGCCAGCTTCGCTTCTAGAGACCAAGTTCCCCAGGCCCAAAGAGAGCTGTGTAGCACTTGGGAAGAACTTGGTTTTTGCCACACACGGGTGGCTCACACCTGTAATCCTAGCTACTCAGGAGGCTGAGATCTGAGGATTGTGGTTCAAAGCCTGGGCAGGAAAGTGTGAGATGTATCTCCAATAAACTACTCAGAAAAAACTGGAAGTGGCGCTGTGGCTAAAGTGGTAGGTATTAGCCTGAGCCTTGAGGCTCAGGGATGGAGCTCAGGCCCTGATTTCAAGTGCCAGGACTGGCCCCCCAAAAAGTACTTTGTTTCCAAATTTACATTGACAAATCCAGGACGTGTGCGTGGGAAGAGCGAGGAGGGCACACGGTTGAGGGTGTGCGGATGGCTCAGCAAGTGGAGCCTCCATTTACTGTTGCAGGTGTGTGTGTGTGGGGGGCTGAGTAGAAACTGGGCCCCGCTGGCTGAAATGGGGGCCACAAGACCTCCAGCCCGAGCCAGCTGGCATCGTGTGCTCTTGGCTTACGGGAAGTGCTCAGAGGTGCTCAGCTGGCAGCGTTGAGGGCTCTGTCCTTCACAGAGCATGCTCACCTCGCATGCCACACCCCGTGGCTCCGGAGCCACGCTCGCTCTCAGGACTGCAGCGCTGCCCACCTTCGGTGTGCCCTGGGCACCCGGCCTTTGCTGGGACTGGAGTCCGGCTGGTGCCCACCCTGCGCTCCCACTAGCACAAGGCAGGTGTCGGGGCTCCTGAGACCTCCAGGCAGAGGCCAGCTTCTCCCCCCTGTGCCCTACAGGGTTCACACATGCCCATGCTGGCACGCGTGCTGGCACACGCGCACCGGGAACGAACACCAGCTGCTTAGCCGCCTGGCTGGGCCGGCCCCATCTGCCCACCACCTGGGGACCAGGCCCGCCCTCCGGCCTGCTTCCCCTCCGTACAGCACAGGGCTGAGCCTGACAACTGCTCAGGTCTTCCAGCCTCACCAGCCTCAGGGTGAAGCTAGAGTCCCACAGGACAGGGCTTTGTACACAAGGCCCCGGAACCACGGCAAAGCCAGTCCTGGCCTCAAACCGCCCTCCCTGCCTTAGGGCCCAGCTTCAGCTCCTCCCCTGCCCCCTTTCCCTTCTGCAAAGTCCTATCTCCTCCCATCACGCTCCCAGCCCTCGGAAAGGTGGGCAGAGGATCCCGAAGGCTGCGCTGTGGATCCTTCCATGCCATCCGAGGCTGTCCAGTGGCTGGCAGATGGAGAAGGGAGCAAGGCATGTGGACAACGCAGATGCCGGGCTTCAGCTCTTCTTGGAGCAAACTTTGTTCTGTTTCCAGTACAAGAAAGTCATGTTTCAAGATTAAAAACTCAGACATGGGCCAGGTGCTGGTGGCTCACAGGCTGAGATCTGAAGAGTACAGTTCAAAGCCAGCCCAGGCAGAAAAGGCTGTGAAACTCATCTCCAATGAGCCTCCAGAAAACGAGGTGGAGCTGTGGCTCAAAGTGGTAGCATGCTAACCTTAAGCACAAAAACTCGGACAGCGCCCAAACCCCGAGTTCAAGCCCCACGACTGACAAAAAATCCAAAAACTCAAAGGGTCACTAGTGCACCATACCTGTAACCCAAACTACTCAGGAGGCTGAGCGTGAGGATTATGATTCAAAGCCAGTCCAAGCAGGAAACGTCGATGAGATTACTCTCCAACAAAAAACCACAAGTAGAGTTGTGGCTCAAATGTTAGAGCCCTAGCCTGAGCAAAAAAGTGGAGAGACAGGACCCCGGCCCAAAGTTCAAGCCCAGTACCAGCTCCAGCAGCCTTGCTCCCCAAACTCAGCCAGAGGGAAAGCATGAGGTGGTCGTGCTAGCTTTCTGGCCTGAACTTGAGGTAGCCAACTTAGCCTGTTGGATGTGGGAGCTTCGGAGCAAGTCCCAGCCAGCGGATGCCAAGCAGGGCGGAGCTGCAGTCCTCAGCTCACCCACAGGGCACAGCTTCCAGGTGAAAGGCTGAAGGGGAAGAGACAGAGAGGCTGGGGTCTCGAGGGGTCTTGGCGGCAGAGCAAGTCCCTGGGTCTCCTCCCCAGCTCAGGATGAAAGGAGGAGGGTGGGCTCCCACACAAACAAGATGGCGCTCAATCCTGTGCTGCTGTGTGAGGACCTGAGCAACCCCGGAGAGTTTCCAGCCCCAGCACAGACCCCCCTTTCACACACGAAGGGTGGCTGGGGATCCAGCCTCACACCATCTGTGAATACTGCCCTGGGCACCATGTTCCTAGTTCTCCTCACCTCCCGCAGCTGGGCTGCAGTGCTGGCGTGCACACGGGGGGGGGGGGGGGGGGGAAGGGGAAGGGGAAGGGGGACGCCTCAGCACACCTGGCTTTCAGCAGCGCTCACCTCCAGGTTTTCAGAGGCCTGTGCCCCAGGGCTCCACCAGAGCAGTGAGAAACCAGAACCCTCCACACCCTGCTGCTGTCTTCCCCAGAGCCCTAGAACCCTCTTCCCCAGAGCCCTAGAACCCTCCGCACCCTTTGCCTTCCCCAGAACCTAGAACCCTCTGCACCCTGCTGCTGCCTTCCCCAGAGCCCTAGAACCTCCCCACCCTGCTGCTGCCTTCCCCAGAACCCTAGAACCTCCCCACCCTGCTGCTGCCTTCCCCAGAACCCTAGAACCTCCCCACCCTGCTGCTGCCTTCCCCAGAACCCTAGAACCTCCCCACCCTGCTGCTGCCTTCCCCAGAACCCTAGAACCTCCCCTAGAACCTCCCCAGCCTGCTGCTGCCTTCCCCAGAACCCTAGAACCTCCCCAGCCTGCTGCTGCCTTCCCCAGAACCCTAGAACCTCCACCATTAGCTGGAGCGTCTCCTGACCGCGTTGCACATGTCTGTGTGCCAGGTGAGGCTTCGGATGCAGTGGTGTGTCAAGGCTTCTGGGTGTGGTGGTAAAGACCTGCAATCCCAGCACACAGGAAGCTGTGGGCAAGAGAATCTCCAACTCAATGATAGCTTACAAAACTGAACTGTCTCAACAAACAAGAAAAATACCTTTGTTTTCAGATACATAACAAACTTGTAGGGGCAAATGTCATTACGTCCGAAATTCCTTTGTAAATCCTAGTAAAAAAAGTGGGGGAGCCGGGCGCTGATGGCTCACGCCTGTAATCCTAGCTACTCAGGAGGCTGAGATCTGAGGATCGCGGTTCAAAGCCAACCCGGGCAGGAGAGACCGTGAGACTCCTATCTCCAATAAACCACCAGAAAACCGGAAGTGGCGCTGTAGCTCAAGTGGTAGAGCGCTGGCCTTGAGCTGAAGAGCTGAGGGACAGCGCCCAGGCCCAGAGTTCAAGCCCCACGACCGACAAAAACAAAAAAAAGTGGGGGAAGCCAGATGGCAGGTATTGGGGTCTTTGGATACTGACGAGTTGATCGAAAGCACAGTACTGGCAAAGCCTGCACTGGAATGTTCTGAACTCTTCACTCTTAAGAGGGACGAGAAGCCGGTGACTTGGCTGAGATCAGAGGATTGTGGGTAGAAGCTAGCCTGGACAGGAAGGTCCACGCCTTTTGTGGTGGTGGCTGTACTCAGTTGGGATGGAAGTCAAGGCCCAAGTGCTGTACTTGAGATTTCCTGGCTCAAGGCGAGTGCTCTACCACTTGGAGCCACAGCGCCACTTCTGGTTTTCTGGTGGCTTATTGGAGATAAGAATCTCCTGGGCTTTCCTGCCGGGGCTGGCTTTGAATCACGATCCTCAGATCTCAAGTCTCCTGAGTAGCTAGGCTGACAGATGTGAGCCACTAGTGCCCGGCCTCCATGAGACTCTTATCTCCAATTAACCACCAAAAGCCAGAGTAGAGCTGTGGTTCAAGTGGTAGAGTGCTAACGTTGAGCAAAACAGCTGGGTCAGGGCTCAGGCCTGAGTTCAAGCCCCAGGACCCGTGCACACAAACACACAGGAGAGATGCCATGTTGGTTGTCAAGGTTGGCCTTGAGCTCCAGCCTCATTGTCAGTGGTAGTTACTGTAAGGTCTGCACAGGGACCCCTCCCTCCCTCTCGGCTAAGTTTCCGCCCAGTATCTGTTACCTAGGTAACTGGCAGACCTGGAAGCAGTCACCTTCTCCTCCAGCTAGGTCACATCATGGGCTGCCCCGCCTACTCCCGTGGAGTCTGCTTAGCCTGGGAAACCAGCTTTCAGACCTGAGAATGGGGCTTCAGAGACCTATCTCTGAGTTTTGGGACTTCACCGAAGTCTACCTCGGAGAATGGGGCTTCTAAGAGGCCTACTCCTGGAAAGGCTGGCAAGCCCCTGGGAAAGATGTGTTTCTGCCTTTCTTTTCTTCACTGTATAAGAGTGCCTATTAATCTTTTACTGTTTCTGCTGTTCATTGTACTTACTCATGCTCAACGTTCCCTTGTTCAAAGCTCTTTCTTAAGAGTGTTGACGACTCCAATATCTGATGAGTGTCTTAAAAATAGTACTAACTCACCAGAGTTAAGTGCTACCCTGAAACCCCTCTTATGGAGGCTAGTAGACAAGCCATAAGCAAATATAAAAGTATTGGGGTTTCACGAAGTCATTTCAGCAGAAGGAATTGTTTGTAAGAGATTTGCAAGAAGTTCTAGGCTGTTAGAACAGAAAGAATGTATGGCAATTGCTGAGATAACTACTTAGGAGAAAGAACTTCCTGTTACTCTCTTTCATTTACTAAGAGACTTGCTAGATCTAGGCCTCCGTAACCTTACTATTAAAGAAGGAACAGGAAAGATCTTATGGGACAGTTGAGGCCTCTATAGAAATAAGGTAATCGAAACCCATTATATTTCTTAGAGATAAGCCGGAAACAAGTGCCCATCAGGCGACCAGCTGGTGACCATCCAAGAATGAAGCCCTGTAGCAAGATTGTGTAACCTTTTGCCCTTTCTTATGGAGACTTTTTGCTATAAAAGTTTGTTATCCTCTGCATTAAATCGCACTCAGCACTCAGCGTCCACTCCTCTTGTGTCTCCCCACCTATTCCAGTTCCTCCTCTAGGTGTCCTCCGTCGTCCCGACAGAGCCGTCCCCAGCAATGGGCCACACACCTGACCTTAGGAGGGTCCCAGACCCTGAGGTCACATCCAGATCCAGTGTGGCCACACCCCTTCCTGTCCCTGGTCTAGATCAGTCCTGGCCCTGAGGTGGGTCCCCTTCCCTCCCCTCCCCCTTTCCCTTTACAGCCATGCCTCTCCACCACGCATGGAGGGGGCAGCAGTTTGGTAAATAAACTTCTTTTCCTGCCTGAATAGCGTGTGGTGTTCTCTTCATTGACTACCTAATGAAACCTACCTACTTAATACACCTTACAGTTAGCACTACTGGTATCACCCTGCTCTGCACTGGGCTGCTCTTGGCTGTTTTTTGCCTTCAACTTGTTGTCTACTCTGATAAGGAATAAGAATTTTACTCTTGTCCAAACTGTAGGCAGCCAGACAAGGTGGTCCATGTGTACAATCCTAGCACTCAGGAGGCTAAATCAGAAATTTGAGCGCTAGGCCAATTAAGGCTGCATAGAAAATCCCAGGCCAGCCTGGGGTGCAAATGGAGACCTTATTTCAAAAACCAAATAAGCAAAAATCCTCCAACAATTTTTCTTCCTTTTTTCTCTGGTTCTGGGCCTGGGCGCTGTCCCTCAGCTCTTCAGCTCAAGGCGAGCGCTCTACTACTTGAGCCACAGCACCACTTGTACCTTTTTCTGACTAGTTTATTGGAGAGAAGAGTCTCACAGATTTTACTGCTCCAGATGGCTTCAAACTGTGATCCTAAAGTATCAGCCTCCTGAGTAGCTAGGATTATAGGCGTGAGCCTCCAGCATCCTGCCCTCTGACAAATACAAACAAACAAACATACCCAGGATGAAGGCCAGCAGTACAGCACTGTGGAGCAGGTTTCCGTCCAGGGCTGGGGGGGGGGGGGGGGGTGAAGACGGGGACCGGGACCGGGTGGGAGAATAGGATGGGAGCAGACAGCAGACAAACAATGTACAGTCTGCACAGAGGTATTATTCAAAACCCTCAGCCATAAAAATAAAGGCCTTTTATTTGGTTTTCTGTGGCATCAAAGCAACACCTGGACAACACGGCCCCGGCGCCTCCACAGCAGGCCCCGGTGGACGGAGCCAGGCCCTCCGGGCGTGCACTCACAGGGTCACGGGGTCACCTTCCTGTAGGTGACGTGGAGATGCTGACTCATGGGCTGTGTGGTGGTTGCCATGGAGACTGTTTGTTCAAGCTTGCCTTCAGAATTCAGTCTGAATTTTCGAGTAATCTGAACAAAGAACAAGTCAAAGCACCTACATTTTACTTCCAAAAGATTCAACCACCAAGGAAGCACTCCCCTGTGCCAGGAACCGGCCTCGGGCTGTGAGTGCCCCCCATGACCCCCCGCCCCATGCTGCTCTACTACCTTGGAGCAAGCCAAGACCAAGACCACGGTGTTCGGTCCCATCCCCTCGGCCGCCTCCAGAGACCAACCGTGAACGCTGTCCCTGCCTCAACTAAGACCTGCCCAAAGCTCTGTTCTTCAGTAGAGCTTGTGCCAAATGCTCCTCTGGAGAGCTTGGTAGCAGCACCTTTGGAGCCACAAATCCACCAGAACACATCATGCGGCTCTGTCCACAAGAACTTGGGTCGTGTCCTGAGTCAGCCCTTGTTTGGGATGCTGGGTGATACATGGATGCAAGCATAGACTTGTGACCAGTGGCCACCGGGCTCCACAGGCCCCTCTGCACCCACCCAGGAACCCTTAGAGCATACAGACTGCTCTGTGATTCCCCAGCCCTCTACAGAGAAAAGCCAGAAGATCTTTAAACCTCCAAGGAACCATATGGCAGCAAGGACCAAGGCCCAGGAAGGAGGGAGGTGGGGGCCCTGGCTGGGCATGTTTGCCCTGATGCGGGGCTGAGTGCGGGAGGTAGTGCAGGCCCCAAGCTGGGGCTAGAGGCCCACAGAGAAGTGGCCCAGGGCTGGAGGCTGACAGGGCTAAACAGAAACACATCAGGTACTTTATTTCAAATGGGCCTTTTTTTTTGGGGGGGGGGTCGGTCGTAGGGCTTGAACTCTGGGCCTGGGCGCTGTCCCTGAGCTCTTCAGCTCAAGGCAAGTGCTCTACCACTTGAGCCATAGCACCACTTCTGATTTTCTGGTGGTTAATTGGAGGTAAGAGTCTCATGGACTTCCCTGCCTGGCTGGCTTTGAACCATGATCCTCAAATCTCAGCCTCCTCAGTAGGTAGGATCACAGGCTGAGCCACCAGTGCCTGGCCTTTTTTTTTTTTAGGTAGGGTGACCACAGACAAAACCTTGAGTCACTGGTGGCTCACGCCTGTAATCCTAGCAACTCAGGAGGCTGAGATCTGAGGATGGTGGTTCAAAGCCAGCCCGGGAAGGAAAGTCCATGAGATTCTTATCTTCAAAACAAAACAAAACAAAACAAAAAAACCAGAAATTTGGAAGTGATGCTGTGGCTCAAGTGGTAGAGCACTTGCCTTGTGCTGAAGAGCTGAGGGACAGTGCTGAGGCCCAGGGTTCAAGCCCCACGACCAACCAAACCAAACCAAAACAACAACAAAAAACCTTGAGTCATCTCTAGAGCTTCCTATACAGAATGTCTTCTGAAAACTCAGGAGAAAGCCAACTGCTTCATTTACGAGATGGTAAGAAAACAGGGAAATGTGGGCAGACGCCTCGCGTGGGGGTGGCTACGCCTATAGAAACCAAGCCAGAATTGAAGCACAGAAGCTGACTCTTGTGGGCTGGGAAGGTGGCTCAGTGGTAGAGCGCTTGCCTTGCATGCATGAGGCCCTGGGTTCGATTCCTCAGCACCGCATAAACAGAGAAAGCTGTGGCTCAAGGGGTAGAGCGCTAGCCTTGACCTGAAGAGCTGAGGGACAGCGTCCAGGGCCAGAGTTCAGGTCCACCGGCAAAAAAAAAAACAAAAAGAACTTGACTCTTGCAGTGAGAATAATCTAGGCCTTCTATAACTACACAGCAGTGACTCACATCAAGCCCCGTGTGGGGTAAACGGCAAGTTAGACACAGCTGTAAAACAAGTGGGAAGAGGGTGAGGATGTGAGTGAAGGTGAGAAACCCAGGGGGCCTCCGGGTTCTGTGCTGGCTGAAGGCAGCTCAGAAGGGCGGCGGAGGGTCTGTGGACGGTAACTGGCTTCCGTGTCCTGCAGGCAAGCAGGGGCCTGGCAGCAGAAGCCCATCAGGCTGGGCAGGACAAGAGTCAGTGCCGAGGCTTTGCTGCTCCACTACGGTCTGACTGCAAGCAGCATCTGCTGGTAATATACTCTCCTGCTGGATCGGAATCTGCTCCATCAAGAGCCCCTGAAAGGCTGGCCCATGTCTGTAATTCCAGCGCTCAGGACAGAGCGCAGAGTGAGTTCCAGGCCAGTCTGGGTTACAGAGCAAAACCCTGTCTTGGGCTGGGAAGGTGGCTCAGTGGTAGAGCACTTGCCTTGCATGCCTGAGGCCCTGGGTTTGATTCCTCAGCACCACATAAGTAAAAAGAAAAAAGCCGGAGGTGGCTCTGTGGCTCAAGTGGTAGAGCGCTAGCCTTGAGCTGAAGAGCTGAGGGACAGCGCCCAGGCCCAGAGTTCAGGTCCCATGACCGGGGACTCCTCCCCCCACCAAAAAAAAAAAAAACCACAACAACCCTGTCTCAAAAACTTCAAGCCCAAAGCCAACAAGAGGTGTCTTTATACATACTGCACAGCCAGGGAGGGCTGTGATTGTCACTGTGCTTGCACCAGTAGGCCCAGAGCGCTCCATACATCTCCGGTAACTACTTCAAGAGAGCAGAATGCAAGATGGACAAGTAGAAAGGGAAGGACATGGAAGAGCATGAGGCAACAGGTAGCAGAAAGCAGCCAGAGATGGAGCCAGTGGACTTCACACTCTGTCAGCGGCTTCAACTTTAAAATATCTAATCTGGCCAGGCACGGGTGGCTCACACCTGTAATCCTAGCTACTCAGGATTCAAAGCCAGCCCAGGCAGAAAAGTCCGTGAGATTCTTTTTTTTTTTTGGCCGGTGGTGGGGCTTGAACTCTGGGCTTGGGCTCTGTCCCTGCGCTCTTCAGCTCAAGGTGAGCACTCTACCACTTGAGCCACAGCGCCACTTCTGGTTTTCTAGTGATTTATTGGAGATAAGAGTCTCACAGACTTTCCTGCCAGGGCTGGCTTTGAACCGAGATCCTCAGATCTCAGCTTCCTGAATAGTTAGGATTACAGGCATGAGCCACCAGCACCCAGCTTAAGTCCGTGAGATTCTTATCTCCAATTGATCACTCAAAAACTGGAAGTGGGGCCATGGCTCAAAGTGGTAGAGCACTAGCCTTGAGCAAAAAAGGGCTAAGGGACAGTACCTAGGTCCTGAGTTCAAGTCCCACAACTGAAAATAGAAAACAAAAAACTGGAAAATTCGCAAACTTATGGAAACTAAATAACATACTCTTAAAAAAAAACAACAATGGAGGCCTGGGAGGGTGGCTCAGTGGTAGAGTGCTTGCCTTATATGCATGAGGCTCTGGGTTCGATTCCTCAGCACCACATAAGCAAAAAGGAAAAAGTTGGAAGTGGCGCTGTGGCTCAAGTGGTAGAGCGCTAGCCTTGAGCTGAAGAGCTGAGGGACAGCGCCTAGGCCCAGAGTTCAGGCCCCATGACCGGACCCCCCCAAAAAAAAGAGTCTCAAGGACTTTCCTCCCTGGCTGGCTTTGAACCATGGTCCTCAGATTTCAGCCTCCTGAGCAGCTAGGATTACAGGTGTGAGCCACCAGCACCCAGCTTGTGAGTTTAAAGAAAAATATCACTGAAGCCAGGCACGGGTGGCTCACGCTTTGTAATCCTGCTGTAATCCCAGCTACTCAAGAAGCTGAGAACTAAGAAGCATGGTTCGAAGTCAACTCAAGCCTTGAGCTCTAGATTGGCTTTTCTACTCAAGGCTAAGTGGTGCTCTACCACTTAAGCTACACCTCCATTTCTGGCCTTTTGCTGGTTAATTAAAGAATCTCTTGGACTTGTCTGCCAGGACTGGGTTTGAACCTCAGCTTCCTGAGTAGCTAGGAACTCCGCTGTGAGCTACTAGCACCCAGTTGTTCCTTCCCCTCTTTTTTTTTTTTTGTCGGCCATGGGGCTTGAACTCTGGGCCTGGGCGCTGTTCCTACGCTCTGCAGCTCAAGGCAAGCACTCTACCACTTGAGCCACAGCACCACTTCCGCTTTTCTGGTGGTTTATTGGAGATCAGAGTCTCACAGACTTTTCTGCCCGGGCTGGCTTTGAACTGCGATCCTCAGATCTCAGCCTCCTGAGTAGTTAGGATGACAGGTGTGAGTGTGTTATACCAGGCTCCTTAATCTGTTGTCTCAGTATGGGTTTTGGAAGCCTGGTATAACACACTGTTCTTTACTTCAAGCATCTCTGGTACCCTGTGCAGGTATAACAGATCGTTTAATAAATAGAATCCTTTATGACTGATGATATTGAGGTTCTTGGGAGAATCAAAGAGAAACACTATCCTGTGTTCCATCTGCTACTTGAGAAAATATCATCTGGTATTTTCTTTTTTTTTTTTTTGTCGGTTGTGGGGCTTGAACTCTGGGCCTGGGCGCTGTCCCTCAGCTCTTCAG